GTCAGCCTTGTCGTGGTCGAACTCATATCGCTGCCTGAACATCTTGTGGATTTTATATTTGAATTTGGAGGCATTTAAATAATTCTCTGAAATCAAAAAGTTTATGTAAGTCTGCAATGATAAAAGTACTTCGTTAATGCTTTTCATTCAATAAACTTAGTGTTAGTCCTATATTCATTCAAACTTCTATAACAGGTAGGCATTTTTTGCACCAATAAAATAGGCTCTTCAAAAAAGAGGTTCAATGTAACTATTATACTGATTTGATTAAAATATGCAGAAAACTACTACAATCTGATGTAAATTAAGCAAGCTATTCTTTCCCCTATTATCTCAAATTCAAAACTGTAGCTAAGTTGATATTTACATTTAAACAGGTTTTTCGTTTGACTTAATTGATTTTTTAAGGTTCAATCCTAATTTAATTGCAAATTTTTGACAGAAATAACTGAATGCATTCAATTTTTGGACACAACAGAAGCATAAATTATAACATATTAAAACAAAATCGTCAATATTTAGTTCTTCGTTTTCATTGTAATCTGTGGTGATGTCACAATTTGATCAATACAATTATTTAAATATTCCTTGATATTAAATAGATTTTCATTAAGTGATAAAATCAATGGCTAAATCACTTTTGCTCAAATTAGATCATAGCGACCAATCTTAGGTTTTGAACATAAAGCTATAAATCTTTTCACGAATGATTTTCAGTTGCGTTACTAATTCAAATGTAACTATTTAAATAAATAAAGAAAGTCTCATAAAAAAGGAAATTTCAATATTGATTTAAAAGATATGAATTAAAAACTCAAAAGATACTATTTTATATTCATAAAATGCGATAATTGTCAAATAAATAACTAAATAATTATAACTTTATAATATGTGGCATTTTGCCTGTATTTCCCTTTTTTAATTTCACCAGTAATTCATATTTTTGGAATTTGATATAAGAGTCAATTACTCCATTCTAAAAATTTTAAAATCTGAAATTTTGATCAGCATAAAATTTAACAAAGGACTTTACCATTAGAGCTTACTTATTGTCATTCGCATTGGCTTACTAGAATTGAGAATTCTGCAGAACGGAGGTATTTGCTGCCGATCCGTTAAAACAATTCGAAAAGGTGTTAATAGCTAAAGTACCATAATATTTCCTTTCTTGACTGGTAACCGAAAATTTATCCTACATTATAACAATTTTTTAAAAACAAAAAATTTTTATTGGTCATTAATTTTGATTAATTGCATTCACAAGTACTAAATAATAAGATATTTAGGATTCTGTTTCGCGTTTTCTTTAAAGCTGAAGGAAGTAAAAAGTATTATAGATTGAATATCAGCCAATTCGCATGAGCATGTTATTGTTGCAAATAGATCTTTTGTTTCTCTAAGTATTTTACCTGACGCGATTTTTTAAAAATATAATATTAATTCTCCACATTCTTCATAAATTTTAGCACGCGATTGAATACATTTATACAGTTCTATTATCATTTACTCTTAGTGAGTGAGAATATTAATAATTTCATTAAAATTCATAACATCCGTTATGCTGTAAAAAATGTGTCTATTTATCACTTTATTCTTGAGGGTATTGGAAAGCTTATCCTATCAGGTTTTACAAATGACTATTTGAATAAAAGTCTATTTTTTAATAAACTCAATAATAAATGCTATTCGACAGTCACTTCTTTGTCCCTTATTATTTTGAATATTTAATAAGAAATTATGTTGCAAGGTTAAAGCCAATAATTAAATAAATATTAATTTCAAGTTTTCCTATGTACAGATTGTAAAAGAAGGATATTACCAGTGAATTAAATTTCACTTAATTAATTTTGCAACGATATTTACATTTATCGTTTATTCTACTTACCTAAATTCAAAGTTGTGCTAAATAAGTTAGCCGAAAGCTCTTGTGTTCATAAGAGTAAAAGATCTAAATGGAAATAAGTTAATTTAGATTTATATTAAACTTACTTGTTGACTTCTCGTCATAAATTTAAATGTATCGCTAACTTGGAGAAAATTAATTGCAAACAATGCTTTGGCATCAAAATCTGTGTTTAAGGATATATTCCATATTTTTCACTTTGGGAAAATCATCAAATGGATTATTTTTGAAGTCCTTCAAAGGCCATTTGGTTTTACTAAAAATTCACAAGATAAATTAACATTAATTGTCTTTAAAAAATAATTTGATAGCCTAAATACAAAAATAGAGAGGATCGTGATGTTAGCTTTAACGGATTTTTCTTTTAAAGTTTTATTTGACACTGTATGTTATTCTCAAAAAGTATTAACATTGTCCCTATTATCATGCATTAGAGAAGCCACTTACCATTTGCAGACACCATAAGGGTTTAAAATTTTCGAGTCAAAGGGTTGTTAACCAAATTTAAATTTCTATTCTGCCAATAAACAGGGTCTTCAGGTTATCGATTTGTATTGCTTCTCTAATTATTGCATGCTGATTCCATGAAAACTTTAAGTCGGTATTTTCCTGATATTAAGGCAGTTAAGGTTTGTGCCGGACCTCCCGGGAAATCAAAGTTCTTTTCAATAATTACAATATTTTTATTAAATATTTCATGTACCAATCCGAATTTAAGTACTAGTCGAACAAATGTGCAAAAGGGCTTGCATCAAAATGTCTTGAAAACTCCGTTTTCAGATAAGTTTTCAATGAATTCCTTTGTGTGAGGAAGAGAAAGTTTCATGGGAGAGAATTGTTTAGAAAAAAGGTTTCCTACTGCCGGTTCTAACTCAGCGCAGTTGACTATTCCGCTTGCAGAGTTTGATTCGAGAGATATTGAGAACTTGGCAGGCCGAATTCAGTTTAAACATATTGGACTCCGTTTACATTATTTCATTATTTCAATTATTTTTCCATAAATAATTGATGCCGATTACTTTTCATAGCTAGTTTTTAAGTTTATACTTAAATAGATTGCAATTTGATGACAATGTATTATTAAAAAGACACGAAATAAATGACACAGTTGTAATCGCAAGACTCCAGGTCAATTAACTATTTGAATTTGCTCTAAGGCTTGTGATTAATAGTTCTTCTCTATGAAATAATAAATCTGAACAATGGTATAATAGAGCATTACTTAATTGTATGGCGTGCGTTAAACCCGTGTTCGACATTTTTCTTAGCACTAGCATTTTACCATCAAATGGAATTAATACGATAGTGAATTTTGCGTTTATTTTCTATTTTAAGATCATTGATAACAAGATTTAGGAGATTTTAAATGTTTTAATCTTAAGGAAAAAAACTACTCATGCAGTAGCGTTGTAGCTCGACTTCTATATAGACCGCAATTTTTTTTAAATGAAGCTATGTCTTATTTAGATACTAGTAGTAAATTTGGAAGGCCTAGTTGACATAGATAGGAAAATTCATAAAATATTATTAACAACTTGCAGTAGAGTTGTATACTTTCGTTCAAGACCCCAACTGTCATAGTTCATTAATAATTTTTTTTGGAAGAAAATTTTGATTAGGTAGGTGGTTTCATTGATACGACACATTTTAGCAAAATTGTCACGCGATGGTCAATGAGTGCTTAGCTATGTTTAACATCTATAATCAGGCGAATAATTTGACGAATTGAATATTTGGTCCATCGCTTTTACCTGGGATTGTTAATCAAGTTCTAGCATACATATTTGCCTAAAAACGAATTTAGGGTTTGTTTGCCTGCGTCCCAGTGGTATCTGTTCTAAATAAAATTAATGAATAAACCAAAGTACTTAGGCTTTTTGTCTAGCAAATCCTACGAGAGCATCGAAAATATTTTCAAATAAATTGTTTGCTGCCTGTTTGTGAAGCAATTAATTGTGGAAAGAAAATTAGGATTTAAGCACCAAAGAAACTGGAAGTGATTTCAAAATAAGACCTCTGTTAGGTTTTTTCAATTCAAATTACTTTTAACAAATGTTTAAGGAGGGCTATTTTTTAGTTGAATGCTATAAATTGACTTAGTGGTTAATAAAATGCTTTTATCGACCGAAATTATCGGATAAATGAATATAAAGTAATGAAAAAATATTACTTATTATACAAATAGAATAAAATCTAATTAAATATGATATATTTGTGGCATTAGTTTAAATTAAGCTAATATTATTTTTATAACTTCAAATTACCAAAATTGAACCGATTAGAGTTTCTGGTGCGATATTTTTGCATTAGGTATAATAAATAGGTTTGCTTTAGCACTTCCAACGATTAAATTTAGGGTTTTAATTGTCATAAAAATTGAATATATTTTTAGTTAAGATTAAATGGATGGTAATTAAATGCAGCTTGGAATTCAATTATTTATTTGCTTTATTTCTCGTAATAATACTAATCGTAAAAAGTAAACGCTGAATGTGAATACCGTTCCATCACCATTTTAAGGCACAATGCAAGATATTGCTACTACGAAAGCGATTATCGTTAAGTTAATGTGAACATAAAGGATCATTTATTAATTTTCAGCAATGCTTATTCAATGCATATGTTTCACAAACTTAAAATGACAAATATTTATTCATATCAAATTGCAGGCTTCATCATAGTTATCATTTGCCTATTTGTTGACTACGGGCTTCACAGAGGGGAGGAATATCAAAGTCACAAAAAGTCGCAAACAGGGACAGATGAGTGATTGATAGATATAAAAGAGACAGACACAAAGAAAGTGGTCGAATATGATAAACAGTCGGGTCGTGATGGTTTGAAACAGAAATAAACTGATGGTTTATAAACTGTTATGTCGTATGAGTATACGCTGCCCAGAGAGTATCGCGTACTCTATTTTAATAGATATTGAAAATAACAAATCTACATTCTATAGTATTGATCTATGCAACAATATATAGAGGTTTATTCTTCAAGACACCGTCATTTCCTAACAAGACTGCTCAAGATTGTTTCCATTTTCATTCAAGGATATTTGCCATCGAGTAAAGACAAATTTACGATTTCAGGGAAAATGGACCCGGAAAATCGAGTCATTCTTAATGTTGGTGGTTTTCGACATGAGACTTACAAAGCGACACTGAAAAAAATTCCAGCCACTCGACTTTCCAGACTTACAGAAGCACTGGCTAACTACGATCCCCTCCTCAACGAGTACTTTTTTGATCGACATCCAGGAGTATTCGCTCAAATCCTAAATTACTACCGAACTGGAAAACTACATTACCCAACCGATGTCTGCGGGCCTTTGTTTGAAGAAGAATTGGAATTTTGGGGCTTAGACTCCAATCAAGTGCGCTTAGTCTTTTGTCTTAATCATTTCTGCCTCTCGAAGAGGTCCATAATGAGTATCTTTGCAGTAGAAAAGTTTATTTATTTACATTTTCTACGTAGGCAAAATTCGGATTTTATTTAATGTTTTTTATGTAACATTATTTTTCAAGGTGAACTGCTAAATTGAACAGATAAATGAGAAAGACCGACCTTTTGTAAGTTCCAAATGAAATGCTTCTATCTGGAGTTGTAGCATCTAAATTCGAGCGCACGTAACTGAAACAAACGACAAGTATTTTCAAATGTTATTTTACTTTTTTTGAATTGCCTCTTTCTTTCCTATTTCATATTCATTAGTATTTAATGCTCTAAATATTGGAAACATCTTTGATGAGATCCTGTTCTGATTTAAGAGACATACTATAAGATGGCGATTGCGTGATAAACGGTTTTCCAAATCATTAAAAGCGTTATCGTATCACTGTTTAAATAAATATTAGAAAGCAGTATGAGCAACATCACTAAAAGACTTACCTAATTATCTAATTGATTTAAACGCTTGTTTATTGTATTATTGGATGTGGATCAATGAATATTGATCCGATCGCCTCTAAATTACTGAATATCCAAGGTTAACCCATTATTCACGGATTTCCGAAATATTTTATGTGAAACCGAAATTCCAAAAAACTGATTTTAAGTAGCTAACAAAATATTAAATTTTGCTAGTTTAATGGTTATATTACAAAAGAGTATTCATTCATCTTTCACGCAAGTATGATTTGTAGTTGACTGGTGAATTCATGCAAAAAAATGCAACTTTATAGAATCAACTAAACCTTTCTACATAAGATCAAAGGACTTTGCGAATACTTCGCATTTTGAAAGTTAAGTTTAAATTATCCAGTCAAACACAACGTGGAATTGCGCATAAAATATATCCTCGATTATTAAATAGATGCTCTAATAGGCGAAAAACAAACGGAGCTATTTTCGTTGATCTGCAAAATGTCATTATTCTTGCATCTGCTAAAGGGTAAATATTTATAATTCTCTTTTGTACAGACTTGCATCTATGGGATCATTTTACACACTGCATTTTCGATTTCAAACAAACGCAAACGCAGTTGATTAAAATAAGTAGCAGAACAAATTATTTAAAAATCAGAAACGTAAGAAAAGACTGTAGATTTGAAGATATCCGGCTTCTCATATCCCGATTTCTCACAAGATTGATATTATAATGGTCGATTTTGATTGAAATTGTTTTTGAAGTCCATTTAGACGAACATCGTTATTATAAGCGTTTCAAATTCACCCGCTGTATGGGTCTATTTGAAGGTTTTTGTGGGCGGAGTCATTTGTGACTCCATCAAAAACGGAGTCCTTTGTACTCATTGATTTTGTTCAAAGTGTTATATTTTTAGGCAAATGCCTCTGCAAATTAGAAGGATTTAAATTTAAGTAGGTTTCATCTCTTTTTTCTTCCCTTTTGGTTATACACAATTTAATATTTTATTCCCAATATTTTATATTTCTTATTATTCTTTCAAAAATGAATTAATATATCTCAGTTCTTAGTTCTGGTCATTATTTTAAAGTTGGTTAAAATGTTCGCAGAAAAAGTGATGGAAAATAATAAAATATTGGTGTTATATTTGCATAGATAATTAGTTTTATTAAAGGAAGATTAATCAATAAATAATTAAATTGAAGCAAGCCAACAGATACGTGCCAAAATAAAAATCATTTTGCTGGTTTTAAGACTTGTTTATTGATATTGAGCAGTTCGAAGATACTATAAACCTCTCAAACCTATTTCAAATAATAAAATCATGAAAGACAAAACATTCGATTAATGGTGCAGAAAAATAATTTAAAATGAAATTTTCAATTATTGTGAATTAGAAAGGGTAAAACGAGTTGTCGATTGTATAACTTTAGTTTCATAATTATTTTCCAAAATTTCATATGGTTTAAAGTAAAATTTGTAGCTTTGTATCGTATACACTAACATTAAATTAATGTAGTTTGCAACGCTTTGAACCTTTGAGTAATTATTATAAGGAGATATCCGAAGTTTAACTAAGAAAAAACTACTATCGGCTTTCAGAAAATGCATCAACTCGAGACATGAAGAGATTAACGACACCTACTTAAAAAAACTTAGTTGGTTGTAATAGTGCTCCATGATATTTACTAACTGGGATTCTAGTTCAATTTTTTTAAGTTCGAAAACCACCAACTAAAATGTTATAAATACACGTCCATGGTAACGTGTTCCTATTAACCTTGTCATTTCAATTAAGGGCAAGAAGGGTGAACTGATCTTGCATTAGTTAAACAGACATACCATAGGTAAGGGCAGATAGTTAAAAGGTTTAATTGAGGAAAGAGAATTTGTGGCATCACTACCTCCATTCCAAAGAAAAATCAACATGAAATTGGAAAAAAACGTAATTGCCTCGAAGTAACAAAATTTCATGGATTTGAAATAGGAAGATGATTAACCTTGGTGTAATTAGTGGCTAAAGCCAACCATACTTTTTATTCGGAAATTAGTGGATCTCTCCTGTTTTCCGTTTGAAGTCAAAATAACTTATTTATTAAATAGTTAGTGATGTTCAAAAATATATATATAGTTGATGTTCCCTTTATTTTGTTTGTACAAGGCACTCTCTAATTACTTATTAATTTCATTCGAAAATTCACCTCCTCGGGGCTTCTGAAATATCGCTTTGATGGCTAACTAGAATAAATCCCTCGGCACCTACCTGGAAAGCTTAAATACACGATAGATCGTCGTATTTATTATGTATTACACTGAGGAATTAGCTCAAAACACTATATATTAGAAATCAACTGCATTCATTCTACTGATTAGCTGTTTCTGACTCTATATTCTTTTATCTTACCTTCTTTTGTTTTTCGCCTACGCAATAAACTTATACAGTCAATAATCATTTACTTTCACAGTAAAGATAGTTCATGAAATTAATTCAGATGCTTCCGACTGTGTGGTACCGATCGAAAATGAACTTCACCCAAAATTGACTTTCGCTTATTTCCACCTAACTTGGCTTTATTTTTAATATTGTTATTTGACTTGTAAGTAAATTTGAAACTGTATATGATGAATATATTTCATTAAATCAATAATTGAAATTAAATCATGTTCGAAGCGAGCATATATTCAATTAAGCCAATAAGTTTTCGTTCCTATATCGAATAAATATCGCTTGTCATTGTGAGCGTTATTAGTCAAAGATGCCAGAAAACATCCCTTTTAAATTTATTTATTTAATAAAACAAGTTATAAAAGCAACCAAGATTAAGTTATAAATGCAATTAATCCTAATAATATTTAACTAGTAAAAAACACTTAGAAGAAGCATTTATACATTTTAAACAGGAAAGCACAGGTACCTTTTATTGGAGAAATTCATAGTTCTTGAAAAGGGAGTACAGATAAGCCCACTTCAAAGTCTGCTAACAATTTATTTCAAAAACTAATAGTTCCTGTTTCCTTCAACACATTGTTCGTAAATTTTCCGAAAATTGAATGGGCATTAGCATATACATGTTTGAAGTGTGGTCAGCATTACCTCTCTTGCAGCCACGAGTGATTAACTTTAGGATCAAAAGCACTTTAAATTACTTCTGAGAGAAAGGGCTAAAAATCAAAATGCCATTAACGAACCAGTTTGAGTTTGTAATTATTGTGAAAAGGTATTGGGCAAATTCGCTATTTCTAGCTAGTATAAATGCTCTTAAACGTATTGCATTAACAACCATTCTAACATTTAAAGTTTGTAATGTTGCAGTTTGTGAAAGGCATGGATAGAAATAATGTTCACTTAAAATGACAAAAATTATTAAGTATGATTCTATCAGAAACTTTAATTTCAAAATTAATCTCTGGGCATTTCGCTTCAGTAAATGGGCAGGAAAAGCAATTTTTCCATTTTCATAATCTTCCTTTGAAGATTTTGAATTGGAATTCACGTCACAGCTATTTCTGCTGATAATAGATTCCAATTTTATCCAGTAATGGGGTTAAGAATTTCAATGATTTAACTCTCTACCCCATCTGCTGTAGCATATAACTAGTTAACTACTTGGACACAAGGAAAAACATCTATCTTAACTGCTTGTGTAAGCACAACTTACACAACACTTCATGCTAAAACTTTTGCCTTTCAATGTAAGCTGTTAAAAATCATGTAGGATTATTTTGGCATGATTGGCTCTTCTCGATTAAAATATCAGTCGATAATCACCATGCGTCGAGCCACAGTCCGGGTGGTGAATCGTGAAATTCAAATCAAGTTTTATGCTCGATTTTAGTACATTGAGCAAACTATATTCAAATAATGTTTTTTTTCCAATTACTGCTTCCTTCCATGACGTTTTCGATTTCCTCTGAGGTTCTACTCAGCTTATCTTAGAGATTATTTACAGCAAACTTTTTAGCCAAAATGAGATTTTAATTTTTTTGCTATTTTTTATTAAAGGCTAGATACTTTAACTTAGTTTATTCATATATTTTTATCTTTGTTAATTTAATTTTTTACCGAATCACACTTTTTATGTATTGTGCCGATTATCTTTAGGTCAAGTTTAGTTTTTTATTCGAGAGAATAAATTTTGAATGACAATTTAATCACTGACGATAAAAATTCTAATTAAAGACCTTTTTACATATACAAGGAAGTGATCCTAGAGAGCTTTCTAATTGATAAGAACTTCTCACAATTACTCGTCTAGCGAAGAAAAGAACACCGTAATTTGCCATTATGGGAGTGAATTGAATTTGAGCATATCATCATTAAGTGCCTCACCTTGCAACGTAAAAATGTAGATACGAGGTATCCAACACCGTTGAAATTTTTATAAATAGTAAATTAGTAATATATTCTTAAAGGAATTTTACTATTGTCTTACATCATTTCAATGCAAAGTACCGTCCGAGTGGAATCATTTGCACTAATTTGAGTTCGATTAAAACTCATCATACAATATCATAAAAACTTATTTCCGTATTCAAGGATGATTTATTAGTTAAATTACTTTCTTCATACGTGTCAGCTGTTTTAATATTAGGTTAATTTGACAAGGTGCATAAATAAGGCACTAGAATACTGCAAAATAAATAATTCATGGCAAGCTCTGGAATTAAAATATATTTAATAACTTAAGTAACTTGAAAGCAGGTATACACCTTACATGTCCTTAGGCGTGCACCAATTTTTGTACTTATGAAACATTAGAAAAAGTCTGCCACACACTATACATTACCTGCTAATAATATTTTTGAAGTTTACTTTGTATCGTGCTTCTAGCATAATCGGGCAGTAAGCACCAAAGTGTGCCAGCAAAAGAGAATACAGTCGTTTTACATTTTGAATAACATGGAAACTAACAAGCTCCTCCTTAATATTGCAAAGTCTTCTAAAATTTTGTCTAGTTTAACTAATTTAGAAAGATGGTTTGTCAAAGAGATATAATTGACAGAAAAACCATTGCCATATTCGTAGGATCACACCTTCATAGGCTACCACTCCAATTTCTCGGTCATATTGCAGGCATCCCTTCCATATCTTTAGATAAAAGTGTTTAACGACCATTTTCATGGATAGCCAAACGTCATCCTGAAGGTTTTGAAAGAAATTATCACTTATTTAATGTTTATTTTTAATCATGGGAACCAGTAGCCCACAAATAGATAGTGTCCTTGTGACCATCGTTAAAGGAGTGAGAGAAGGTATGTTATTTCACATAAAAGAGAGATCAGTAGGATTTCAGGTTCATTCTTCCAACTTTCTGCCATTCATTCCTTGACTTTTGCTTCAATATGCATTTCTCACAAGTCCATTTGCATGGAAAAATTTCTCTTCAATTTGTTGTACACAGTTGTTTTTGGAAAAGTTATTCGCAAATATTGCGAGTATTATTATTTAAGTGATAGGGTGGTTCTTAAATCAAGTGCGTTTGAATAACTAGTCCAAATTGAATGAAACCAAATGACATTTAATTTTGTTGGTTGTTCCGACAAAATGTATATCCCTTGTGTTGAATATCCGTCTCCATCAATGTAATCCTCAATCCAATTTCATATTTAAATCATTTGAAACACCTTCTGATTAGGGTTAAAATATTAAAATTTTGTAGCATTTTATCTTTATTCGAATTCTAAAAGCCTTCAAAAGCCATCATTTGCAGAAAAAATGTTCTTTATTCCGGTCACATTCGGTTAAGAAATTTGCATTCCAGCATTTCCTATTTGGTTTGGCTCAGATAATTTTGCATTTTAAGTAATCTACAGATGACAGATTTAGTCATTTCTAATTTGGTAGATGTACATAAAGTAGCACTAATCACTAATTGTAAAGCAGCTTTATCAGTTAAGTTAAAGGTGAAGTAGTGTTTCTCATAAAGCCCACAGAAA